TAACGGAACGCGACTGATGTGACAGATTTCGGTTTGATAGATGACGTATGAGTAACGGGGGGGGGAGAATATGACATAATAATAATTAAGATTGTATTGTATACTACAAAAAACTTACTTTAATTCCGGCATAACCAGTTTGCAAAACTTCCCCTTAGGGAGTTTTTCCAGTAGGTACCATGCTTAGCAGGCGGTTTGGTGACCGCAGTTAGGCTTCAGTAATGTTTTAAGAGAGACGATGCTGCCCATCCCTTGCCCTCCTTTAGTCGCCCCTTACAATACCCACAGGAAAAAAAAGCGATGGCCTAATTTATAAATAAAATACCAGAGGGAGACTTTGTACAAAAGTCGATTGCTTGGACACCTCTGTCCCATTCGTGTTTCAACCGTGAAGCAGTTGTTTGCATGGCTGTGTTTCGGTTTGAAGGGTGAGACATGGCGTGAAATTACAGAGTACAGAGAAATTACATCTGAGTCCTCAGGAATGGCAACTCCGGGGAGTATCATAGACAAAACAGTATACTTTGTTACGTTCATGTCTATAGGCGACGGTTACCACTTTCCATCAGGTGGGCCGTCAGCTTGTTTGCCATTCTAAGTTGAATAAAAAAAATATATCCAAACATACAAATAAACATATTACAATATATACATACATATAAACGAAGATCGACTGAAATGGTCTGATTACGGTGGTAGAATTTTCTGGAACGAATAATCAAGTGTAACCAAACGTTAATTGCATAGAACGTTTGTATTACAAGTTACTACGCGAAAATATTACGAAAGTATTTAATTTACTTCATTTATTGTACACATACATGTACACAAAATATAGATAGATACATACTCTTTATTGTTCCCTCCATAAGATTACAATAGTAAACTTATTATAAATACAAACAATTACAAGAAATAATCACAATGAGAAAACAATGGGCGAACTTATCGCTAAGAGCGATCTCTTCCAGGCAACCTTTGGATAGAGAGGAGTAATTATAAACAGTTCGACTGGAGGCACGAAACTCTGTTAGTTTTTTAAATACATACAGATATATGCATACGTACAATGATGTAAATATATAAATATGTATATATTTTAACTTACTAATACTTTTCTTAAATAAATCCATATAAACACATATACATAGAAATACATATATACAAACATATGTAGTTCAAAAATAGAAATAAAAAGTATTCGAGTATTGCTCAGAAGTCCTTAAGTTTTGTGACTTCAATTAAAAATATGGTCACTTGAGTGTTACGTAATGTTGGGAGGTGGGGGAGGAGAGGTTACACAAAAATGTTTCGGCACGTTCCACAAAAATGGTGCTAGGTAATACTAATTACCATAGAGGGGAATTAAAACAAAAAAAAAATTTGCACGAGTACATTTTGGTCTGCAAAAAAGAAATGCGGCTTTAATCTTGACGTAAATATAAGATTTTGTATCACAAAAAAAACGATCAATCAATGGTAACAAAACCGGTTATTTTAATTTAAAAATTAAACTAGACCGATTTTGATAAAATTTCTATAGGGACAATTTGAAAGCATATCTTTTCAGATAAAATATAGTTTTCCAAATCGATCTATAAATGATGGAGTTATTAGATAACAAACATAAAAAAAATACAACTGAATTGAATGAAGAAAAAAAACCTTCTTTTCGAAGTAGGTTTAGTTTAAAAATTGCTAAAGTAGAATAAAAAAAGATTGGTAGTTTTTTTTTTTTTTTTGTAGAACACAAATAAATAAAATTTAAATTTCGAACTCGAACTATTATAATCAGCCATGATGACCTTAGATTAAGAACAGTATCGACGGTCATAATTATACTTTCTAATGTGCATTTTAATTATTTTTTTTTAACATTGTTTTTAAAGGACACAATGGGTATACATATAAATATAAACAATATATATAAATATAAACAATTACAAGAAAATATTACTTATTTATTTATTTATGCATCATTTATATAAGTATATATCTATATAATACAATTTTACCTTTGGCTGTTGAGTTGGCTACACAGGTTACACTCTGGGTTTGTTGTACGCGTCCGTGTAGCCTAACTTCAGGCTGTAGCTGAAAATCAGTGCGTTGCTTTTAAACGAAACTATCACTGAGCTGTAGCCTATTTGGGTCACTGCGCCACACTTGGTGAAAACATATTTCCATATTTCGTCTTTTGTTTTATATTTAAAAAAAAAATGTAAATAATCTGATTGTATAAACTCATTTGTTAATTTACGTGTGTCATAAATTTAAGCCATAAAGTGTTTATCTATCTATCTATACCGCAAAAAAGACACCGTTTGTCGTATCTCTTCACTTTCAGGGCACTTCCCTTGATAATAAGTCGGGTCTGGGGATTTTTGGCGTCGATACTGGACGTCCAATTTGTTTAATTCCGCTACCATTAGTATGTGTGCGACTGCCAACACTCGAAGATCGACCACCACTATTACTAGCAGAAGTTCCACGACCTTCCATATTATCCATCAATTTCCGACTCCCAATTTGCTCACCTCCAAACAAGGCATCTTTAGACAAAATATTACGTCGCTGGTACCTAAACAAATGCCTAAATTTAGTCTTTGGGGAAGCCTATGTTTGGCAGTGAACAGAAAATGGCTGAGCTAAAGATGTTGATGAATACCTAAGTGGTTTACAACCTCAATGTAGGTGGTCCATGTGTTAGTGGTAGCGGTTTCAAAGTCTTCCTCTAGTAAAGCTGTATGCTGGTTTGCCACCATCTTGATGTATATAAAAAAAAAAAAACTTATTTTCTCAGACAGGCAACCAAGGATTGATCACTCGAATGAACTTGCAAATACAATGATAATAATAATAATTTATTTAGCAGAAACAGTAATATAATATGATGTTACAATTTGTTTTTTTAATATTTAGTATGTTTCGCCATATTTAAAAGCATGGCCGTGTAGGTCTCGGCATAGAATAGGCCACCCCTTCCTTTCCCATAGGTGTCGTAAGAGGCGACTAAGTGAGAGCGAAGATTGAGCAGTGGCGTCCATCGTAAAACATCTCTAAAGCCTGACTGCGGTTGCCAATCCGCCTGCAAAGCCAAACTATTGGCCAAACCCTCCAAGGGGAGGGGAGGGATTGTTAGTAATGGAGATTGAGAATCCCATTGCTAGCAATATACCCAACCAGGTCGACCTCCTCGCTGCTCCCCCTGGAAACTATCATGGTTAATTCCTGATGAATTCATCATGATGGACTAACTGGCCTGTTTTCATTCTCATCTATCACCCTTCACTGGTGCTCTGCCAGCGTATCCCGTTAGCGCAGGTGGACTTACCATACCATTTTCACCCATCAAAAAAACCCCTTAGGGGGAGGTTTATGTTCAGCAGTGGACAGTTAAAGGCTGGTATGATGATGCTCATGAATACCATGTAAACATTATAAATAGTATTTATCAAACATTAAAGAAACTGTTACGATAAACGCTACTTATAAATATAAAACACTTAAGGAACATTCGACATTCCTTACACAATACCTCCTTTTAAAAATGTCATTTTACTATAATTTATACATAATATATAATATAATATAATATAATACATTAGTCCAGTATTTACCGGGTTAAAAAAAATCACTTTCACATGGAAAGCGACCTTAAAACGTATGTCTATTTGCTTCGCTCACAATTGTAAAATTAATAAATTTACACGCCAATAAAACCATATTATATTTCAATTAAATACAAATAGAAAATCTATATCAGTGCTGTGATGTACCCATATCAGATTCTGTAGGAGAAAATGGTGTTTTCCATTTGTGTTATGGGTTCTAAAGGAGGCAAAGAAGAGGATTGTTAATAATGGATTCTACAAATCCATTGTCATATTTATTTATTTATTCATTAGTACAAATATGTGTACATGGCGGACTTAATGCTAAAAGCATTCTCTCCCAGTCAACCATAGGGAAGTGTCAGAATACTCGAATGCGGTACTAGTAATTATTGATATACATACATACTAAAATTACATATTTATTGTTGTATCGAACTTTTTTTTTTATACAACTTAGAATGGCAAACAAGCTGACGGCCCACCTGATGGAAAGTGGTAACCGTCGCCTATAGACATGAGCAGTACCATGGACATAACAGAGTATACTGTTTCGCCCATGATAGCCCCCATGCGTTGCCATTCCTGAGGACTCAGGTGTTAGTCCTTCGTACCTAGTAAATTCACGCCATATCCCACCCTTCAAACCGAAACACAGCCATGTAAACACAACTGCTTCACGGTTGAAACACGAATGGGACTGAGGTACCCAAGCAATCGGCTTTTATGCAAAGTCTCCCTCTACACATAAATTATCATGATTAAGTCTCAGTGCATTCGCCACGATTGGCGACTAACCTGACTTTTTAATTTTCATGCATTATTTCTCTATGGTGTTCCGCTAACATATATGGATAATGTAGGCATTATCATACCATATTATACCATTTTTTTGAAAAATTCTTTGAAATCTAATATGAGCATAAAAGTGGCACTTATTTCCACGCACAACCACTCTTTGGTATCAACTTCATGCAGCAGTATTTCCGAACCGATACGACAACATAACCTTCAAGAAAAGAGCATATTCCTTTTTAAAAGGCCGGCAGCACACCTGCAATGCCGTCGGTGTTGTGGGTGATCATGGGCGGCGGTAGTCACTTACCGTCAGGTGCATGCTCGATTATATAATATAATAATAATAATATATATATAGAATTATGAGGCAACAAACACTAAAAAAAAACAATAAGTCCTTCTTTTTTAAATCGCTTAAAAAGAGCCATCAACATCGGCCAATCTTAATAGCGTAAGCACATCTATAACACATCACCCTCCTTCTGTAATGTCGAGCAAGGCGTAAGTATCGCGCGAACCTGTTCACCTCGAAACGAAAGTAGCTATAATACGAATGCTCAATGGATCTCAGAGCAGTGCAACCTTGGACGTGAAAGTAGACACATGCTGCCAACATGGCTAAATTAAAACTATTTTTTTTATTTTTAATCTGTTGTCAAGTACACAGTGAGACTGTATTCGAGAGTTCATACAATTATTTTATAGGTCTAGGTAAAAGTTTAGCGCCCAGTTTTATGAACTTTTTTGTATGTATGACAAAGGACGATGTATGGAGTTGTGCTAAGGACAATTTGGGCAAGGTGTTGGACGGATTGGATGAGGAAGTGCAGAAGGAAAGGAAGATTTGGCAAGGTAAGAATGTTTTTTTTATAAAATATTATACTAGCGACCCGCCCCGGCTTCGCACGGGTGCACATTACATCACATCACATTAGAAACCTTTAAAATTATCAGTGTTTCTCTACAATAGTATGCATGTATTATACATATAAACCTTCCTCTTGAATCACTCTATCTATTAAATAAAACCGCTTCAAAATCCGTTGCGTAGTTTTAAAGATTTAAGCATACATAGTGACGGACAGTCAGCGACAGCGACTTTGTTTTATACTATGTAGTGACAGTAAAAAAAAGATCGGAATTACAACCGCTTACCATCAGGTGGGCTGTATGCTTATTTACCACCTAATGTAGTGGTATAAAAAATAAATAAATAAAATAATTATTTGATTGTAATAAATAAAAAATAAATCGACTTTAACTTAAAACAAAATCAGTTATCTAATACATAAAATTCTCGTGTCACGGTGTTTGTTACCAAACTCCTCCGAAACGTCTTTACTGATTTTTATGAAATTTTGTGTGCATACTGGGTAGGTCTGAGAATCGGCCAACATCTATTTTTTATACCCCTCAATGATAAGGGTGACCCTCCCCAAATTTTTTTTTTTTTATTTTTTTAACAAATTTTTCCATTTTTATTTTATTATGATTTAGCATTAAAAAATACATACAACTTTAAATTTTCATCGTTTTACGATCAACCCATGTATTTTAATCGCGATTTTTATATTTCGCAATAAGTGGTAAAACAACGTTTACGGGGTCAGCTAGTTTTTATATAAAAATCTAAATTACTGAACCAATTTCGATAAAATTTCTACTAGACCTATCTGTAAGTATATCCTTTCAGATAAAAAAAATATTTTCCAAATTAGTTTATGACTGACAGAATTACGAGATAATTAATCTAATAAAAAGATGCAATCGAATCGAGAATCTCCTTCTTTCTGAAGTAGGTTTTTTTTTGATGGGTGAAAATGGTATGGTAACCCCGCCTGCGCTAACGGGATACGCTGGCGGAGCACCAGTGAAGGGTGATAGATGAGAATGAAAACAGGCCAGTTAGCCCGTCATGATGAATTCATCAGGAATTAACCATGATAGTTTCCAGGGGGAACCGCGAGGACGTCGACCTGGTCGGGTATATTGCTAGCAATGGGATTCTCAGTCTCCATTACTAACAATCCCTTTCCCCCTTCTGAAGTAAGTTGAAACTGCGTTTTTTGTTCGTTATTGAATACATTTGATAAATAATTTTGATTCATTTTAATAAAATTACTTTTATATTTTTTTTAGTTAATAATTTATGATTTTAATAAAAAAAAAGGTATGTGATTTTACTTAAAAAAAAAATTGTGTATTCAATAGTGACAGTTTATATATATATATATATATATATATATATATATATATATATATATATATATATATATATTCTTTATTGCACTTAAACAATACATGCGACGATCAGTTTAACAACTTGTTAGCAAGGGAGGACTTATCTCTGAAAGAGATCTCTTCCAGCCAACCCAGTGTGGTTAGAGAGGAAATAATTTAATTTGGGTAATCCAGTGCAGGAATGGTACCGGTGAAAATAATGTAAATACAACAAACACAAATTGTGTGAAAATAAATACGTAAATAGATAAATATATATACATATGTATAAGTGCATAGAATTATCATGTACTATTGGTTAAAAGGTGAGATTTCAGTGTTCTCTTGAAGGAAGTAATGGAAGGACTATCCCGTAAGTCGTTTTTAACAGACATTCAAAAAGTAATAAGTCCTCAGTTAGGTTGTGGTTTTTTTTTTACATTTGCCACCCCATAACTCCGTCAGTTGTAAATCGATTTGACGAACAGTTTTTTTTTTATCTGAAAGGATATACTTAAGGATTTTTTTTTATACAATTTAGAATGACAAACGAGCTGACGGCCCACCTGATGGAAAGTGGTAACCGTCGCCTATAGACATGAGCAGTACCATGGACATAACAGAGTATACTGTTTCGCCTATGATACCCCCATGCGTTGCCATTCCTCAGGACTCGGGTGTTATTCCTCTGTACCCTGTAAATTCACGCCATATCGCACCCATCAAACTGAAACACAGCTATGCAAACACAACGGTTGAAACACGAATGGGACAGAAGTACCCAAGCAATCGACTTTTGTACAAAGTCTCCCTCTGTAATAGTTAACTATTACTTGTGGGGGGAAAGGAATTGTTAGTAATGGAGACTGAGAATCCTATTGCTAGCAATATGTCCAACCAGGTCGACCTCCTCGCGGTTCTCTCTGGAAACTATCATGGTTAATTCCTGATGAATTCATCATGATGGGCTGACTGGCCTGTTTTCATTCTCATCTATCACCCTTCACTGGTGCTCCGCCAGCGTATCCCGTTAGCGCAGGCGGGGTTACCATACCATTATCACCCATCAAAAAAAAACTATTACTTGTATATTTTTAAGCTTTTTCACTTATACTTTCTTTTTGCGTTTATAAATTAATCTTTTAAGAGAATTGTGTGTGAGAGCATTCGATGACTCATATCACAGGACACACGACCACGGCTCGTTCAATAACGACTAGAAAATATTTGTAACATACTTAGAATAATGTTATTTTCAAATACGATTTCTAGAAGATTGCTTACAATCGCGACGCCATAGCTGAATGAGACTTGCACGTGTTTCTCTTTGATGGAATTAAAGTTTACTGTGAACAGTATAGATTGGGCGTCACAGTATACTCGTACTTACTCTGTGACATCCACGGTACGGCACTTTCCATCAGTAGGTTCAATTGCTTTTGCTTTTTTTATAATTATTTTTAAAACTTATGTGTCTTTTTTATCCGATATCTACATACGAGTACATGTGTTATGGGAATCGAGAGACTGTGACCCAAAGCGCTGAATGCCCCTAAAAAAGAATTTTGGATTAATTCAAAACAATTGTGAACAACGACAAAAACACAGCGAGTTCATTAATTTTCCGTTAGACGTGTGTATTTTTTTATACAACTTAGAATGGCTTACAAGCTGACGGCCCACCTGATGGAAAGTGGTAACCGTCGCCTATAGACATGAGCAGTATCATGGACATAACAGAGTATACTGTTTCACGTAGGACTCAGGTGTTATTTTTCTGTACCCTGTAAATTCACGCCATATCCCACCCTTCAAACCGAAACACAGTCATGCAAACACAACTGCTTTACGGTTGAAACACGAATGGGACAGAGGTACCCAAGCAATCGCCTTTTGTACAAAGTCTCCCTCTGGTATATAGATATTTTATATAATTTTTATACAATAACTAGCTTTTACCCGGGACTTCGTCCACGTGACCGGGATATGTTCACTGACCGGGGATAAGAAGTAGCCTATATCCTTCCTCATCCCATATAGTTTGTGTTTACCAAATTTCATAGTGATTGGTTAAACCGTCAAGGCGCTATAAGGCAACAAATAAATTAACTTTCACATTTATCATATTTCTAAGGAAATTTATCACTTTAATCATATAAGAATTGTAAACACACCTCATACATCCAAATTTGTTCGGGCATTTAACAATTATGGCAGAATAAATAAATTTACATACAAACTTACTCGCTTTTTTTGGACAGTCGCGTAAAAAGACGGACGAATCGAGAACCATCTCCGTTTCAAGACAACCATAATTATATTAGCTGTTATCTGTCACAGATGTCCTTCCTCATAGACTGTCAGGAACTTGGCTGTTCCTGTTTTGAATTCCTTTTTTAAATCGGTCAAAAACCCGTCCACATGTCTGTTAAATGTTAGAAAATTCTAAATCCTTCTAAGAAAGCTGTGATAGTGATTTTTTATTGGTACTGAACATCACGTTTGACACCAATCTTGTTTGATGGAAAGTGTCGGCATTAAAGCTATGAACTCGGGAGTTTACCATATTTATTGTCTTAGAATACTGTAGTTGAAACTGTTGTTGCCAACCCACCTGCCAAGCGTGGCAGGACTTTTTTAAAGTTCGCCGCTAATTCCTATCAGTGATAGGAATTTTAAGATGTTCTCTGTAGCGATGTTTTTTGTCTCCTCAGGATACAGAGTGTGTTATCCAAATCAGATATATCGTTTATGTATGAGAGGGCTACAGCGACACATCCAGTGCTGCGGCGTTTCTTCCTCACTGTGACAAAATCTGCAAACACTAGTTGGGCCATGTGCTTGTTTAATTTGCAGTGTCCAGTGAGAGCCATTTTTAATACACACACATTATTTTTATTCAAAAGCAGTTGTGTCTGCATGGCTGTGTTTCGGTTTGAAGGGTGGGATATGGCGTGAGTTTACTGGGTACAGAGGAATAACATCTGCGTCCTCAGGAATGGCAACGCATGGGGGGTATCATGGGCGAAACAGTATACTCTGTTATGTCCACGGTACTGCTCATATCTATAGGCGACGGTTACCACTTTCCATCAGGTGGGCCGTCAGCTTGTTTGCCATTCTAAGTTGTATAAAAAAGAATAAGTTACCCGCTTGTTTATAAATCAACTGAGATATTATAAATTTCCCCAATACGTTTCTATTGATATTACTTATTTGTTTATTTAAATAAATTTATTGAAATAAAGTACAAAAAGTGGACTTAATGCTTAATCACCTTCATCCTCTTATTAGCCTTTGACTGTCCACTGGTGATTATTAACCACTAAAATAGTTGCCACGCTTGGCAAACGGATTGGCGACCGCAGATAGGCTTTAGAGATGTTTTAAGAGGGACGCTGCTGCCCATCCCTCGCTCTCCCTTAGTCGCCTCTAACGACACCTGCGGGATAGGAAAAGGTGGCCTATTCTATACCGGGACCACACGGGGAATCTTGTCGTTGATATTCATCAAAGCTAATAAATATAAAACCACTATGTTGTGATGTCAATCTGTGTGTAATTTCATCCTTTCTAGCCACAGCGTGCGACAATATCTGTCTATCATACCGCAGAATGCAATTTCCAGCATT